AATATTGGTGTATTCGCCGATTCTTATGTATTTATTTTTATTTTTTGCCCAAGCTGGTCATCAATTAAACGGCTCCGTCGTCCACGAGATTCAAAAGTTATATAGGGCCAATTATTTTTTCTATGTACAGTTCTCCCTTTGCTTGACAATGTTATTTAGTATTACAATTTCTAGTACATTTTGAAGATAAAATGTAAATTTAAACTGGATAATTCATCATTTCGTTATTGATAATATTATATTTTATTTAACGATTATGATAAATTCTACTCATCTAGTAGTTAAACATTATTTGACTGAAACTCATATGAATTACACTCGGTCTCATATAAACTTTCAAAAAGAAAACTAATTATAAAAATATGGATTGCATCGTATATGTCTATCTATGTTTATGTCTCACCATATAGTTTATCCATTAAAAATTAGATAGATAGTTAATATATACTCATCCGCATTTGTCCAGTACTAGTTTCGGTCAATATTTTACATTGAGCTCGAATTTCAAAAATGTTTATATGCAATGATCATGAGACATTAAGTCTCAATATGGATATCAGGAATAAAAAAAAGTAGATTCAGATTTCGGAGGATATAGGGAAGAAAAAGAAGAACAAAGCAGGAATAAGAACTGGGGGAAAATTCGAACTGGAACAGAAGAAATTGTTCATAAAATTATCGATACCTGATACAATTAAAACTAGAGATATTTAAAGTTTATATAAACGTAGCTAGTAGCTACGATTACTACTATTTTATAAACTACACCCGGAACCTTTAATTTAATCTAATTCAAGTTGACCTTTTAGAGCATCACAGATTCTGGACTAGCTTATTTCAACTGGTTATTGGGCTGTGTAGCCCCGTTTGGTTGCATTCTTCTCTCGGGTGTAGTTATGTCTATTATCACGCCCAACTTAGGCTTAGTTGACACGCCACAAGTAAAACAATAAATATTATCTATTATCATACAACTAAGGCAACTTACATTTTCTTTTTTTTTTTTAATTTATTTATGTCTAAAATTTGAGTCATAATAAAAATGATTACATCATAAATATCTTGCAGCGGAAACTAAATCACTATTAAATCTCTTAGTCATTTCTTCGTCTTTCCGACATAGTGGCAACTTCTGTCATTCTTCTCCAACTTCCTCTAACCGCAGTCATCATCACTGTTACTCTAAACATCTATTGGGGGGTCAATATATGCAAGTTCAAGTACTCATATAAACTTCAAAACATTTCACAAAACATGATCATTTCAAAACCATTACATACCACCCTTTAATTTTGTGAAACAACGCTTAGTTTTGTAAAATTTTCACTTTCATAAATATTCCACTTCATTTTCATAACTTTCATATGGCGAAAATAAGACATTCTCATAAATATCTATTTTAACGAAAACATTCACATTGTCAACATGAGGCATAACTTATAAAAACATCAAACTTCCCCATAAACATTCACTTTTTCAAAATTGAAACATTCAAAAAATCAGACATTTCCATAATCATCCGCATTTGTGAAATTGAGACATTCATTACTTATAAAATATCAGACGTCCCTATAAAGCCCCACTTTTGTGAAATCGAAACATTCATAAACATCACACATTTTCATAGCATTCGCTTTTGTGAAATTGACACATTCAGAACATCACACGTTCACATAAACATCTTTTTGCGAAATTGAGACATAGCGATATACTTTATCATGATAACATGTGTACAGTTTCGGATATCAGCCCTCCGAAACCAGGAATACTTTTAACTTAATGCTACTCTCGCCTATTGTTATCTTTGGACTTGGGCTTTCTAACTTTTTCGTCCACTTTATATTTACTCATAGATTTGGGCTTTCCAGCTTTTTTATCCACTTTCACACTTACTTGGGGATTTGAGCTTTCCAGCTTTTTCACCCCCTTTCACTTCCGTGATCACTACCATAATATCGTACGTGCATATAGTCTCAATTTCAAAACTTTATTTATACTCATAACATACTTCAATTTCAAAACATTCTCCATAAAATATTTTCATAAATCATAAAATATTTTCACATTTTATACATAATAAAACATTTAATTCTCATAATAACTTAAAACGGATATGCAAATCGTGTGAGAGAATGCACACCATGCATACCAAATAAATCATTTAGTTCACATAAACACATAAGCGAGCATGTACATCGTGCGAGGGAACGCATCTTTACTTCAGTAATTTCCATCGTCGTGAAATTCCAAAACCTTTTCCTTTCACCTATCATTATACATCCATCTTATTCAATATGGCTACTGCAAGCCTTTAAAACTCCTAATAACATTCCTTAGTATACTATATTCTTGTTACTCACAATTCTCACTCAACTTAGTTCATTTCTATCCCTACCTCACATACTTTCTTTCCAAAGTAATTACGTGATAATATTTCAAAATGTATGAATTACTCAAGATTTTTAAATTATTAAAAGATTTATCATGAATTTATGAAATCAGAATGTTTCAGAAAATTTTGTTAAAAAAATTGAATTTATCTTCAAAATCACCAGAATAATATCTTTTGGAATCTTTCGTTTCTAAGACCTTCCAAATACTTGTAACTTTTATTACTTCTTCAACTAAAACAATAATATTTGGAAAATATTACATTTCAATCTTTTATATTAGTGTACCATAAATCGATTTAGAAATAATATCCTGAAAAGATTGGAGGGGTCACAAATGGTCCCACTTAAAATCCAATCCCCTTAGACAGAAAATCCCTTAGTGATCTATTAGTACATAGCTAAAACCTTATTAAGGAACTATTTTAATACAAAACTAGACATACTTTTAATATTTAAATAGGTATACTACTAAGGAAACATATATAATATTGTTTAGAAAAGTAATATCTTACTATTAAGAGAGTATATATTGAGGTTTTAAGAAAGTTTAATTTAAGAAAACGTATATGACATACATTTGAAAGCATCTATACTACAAAATCTAATTTATATTATAATTTAAGAAAAAACGTACTAGTATCATGGAAATATATGTAGCATTACTTTGTAAGAAAGCATATTATAACTAAGAAATGTATGTTATTATTTAAGAAAACGAGCTACTATCACAAAAGCATATGTATTATGATATAAATAACTTTCTAGTTCTACACATTCCAAATCCTAGATCATAATCAAGAGTCTAAATAAAGAAAATATAATTCCTAATATTTATTCCTAATAAGAAAACAAAAACTCTAACTAAAAGTGAGACTCGAAGGTCACCTCATATAAGATCTTTGAAACTCTAAGAATTTCTCCCAAGCTGCCTTGAGCTTCCTTAGACCTCCAAAAAAATTTTAATCAACTAGGGTGTAGTTTTTCGCTTAGAAATGTCCACACCCTTAATTGATTTTGGTGTGCCCAAACTCAAAGTGAAACATTCTATTTATAGGTGAAGATTTCACTATTCCTAGCTACCCCTTCCTTATTTTTTAAAAATATTTTTCACTATTCCTACTTACCCCTTCACTAATATTTTATCCCTAACTAACCAGTTCTTATTATTTTAATATTTTTTACTATTGCTACCCAACTCTTCCATATTATTTTAATTTTTTTGTAGGATGACCTTTACTATTTACACTTGCTTCTTATTAGTTTAATATTATTTTTACTATTCATGGAAGCTTCTATTGTTATTATATTTATTATTATTGTTATTATTTTATTTCTATTTATTAATTTTTCCTTACTTTGTATTTTATCATTTATTATATTTTTCATAGATACCTCCTAATTTTTTCACTATCTATAACTTAATTAATCTTATACTATTGAAGACTCTCGACTCTTCTAATTATTATTATTATTGTATGGTATTATCATTTTAACTTTGCATCCATAACTTTTAAAATCTTATCCTTGTAAAACATTTGGGGAAATTTTCAGGGTATTACATCGATCGACGTGACTTTGTATGTTATTGGGTGTAGTTATGTTGATGGACTTTGTGTGTTATTTCCTTATTTTAAATGAGCTGTATTCTTAAAGAAGGTTTATTGTTTAAGATTGTTATCATTTACGATTTGTTTTCCTCCCTTCATTACAATAACTATAAAATTCCATACATAACAAATTATTCGATTTGTTTTCCTAAATTTAATAGTTCTATATTGCTCAAATTACTGAATTTAGTTTTTGAAATGTAATAGAACCATTGGACAAGAGCGAGTGAGTTTTTTAAAAAAGAAAAAGAAAACGTTCCAATGTTTTTTTTAAAAAAAAAAAATCCACCCAGTAAACCTCACTTAAATGTGGGTAAAATCCCTCTTTACAATCTTGGTGGGAATCGAACCTGGTATATCACTAGGAAAGACAACAACCTAAGCACTAGGCTGTCATTCAATTTTCGAAAAACATTCCAATGTAAAAAAGTCATAAACAATAATTTTGACGAGCTAAACTTCAACTCAAGAAGAGGAAAAAACTTTGTAGCAAAAACTGTGCAATGAATTTCAGCCTGAAAAAAAATTGAAATCAACACCACACCCCTCTATCCAGAGACCAAAATAGTAATTAAGCAATAATTATAGTAATAATTGAAATAGATTTTTCCTCCTAGTTAAAATTATTACCCCTTTTCCACAATTTTTTTCCTCGTTAAATATTGAATAAAATATGGATTTGGACTATAAACCAAAATTTGGCAAAGTCCAAGAAACTAACATCCCGGCACGCTTTAGAACATATCAACAACAACCAAAAAAAAAAAAAGAAGAAGAAGAAGAAGAAGCTAAGCATCATCAGTTTATCACATCACCAGAGACCGAACTATCATCCCAAATATATGATAAAGTTTAATGAATGTCAAACAATATAATTATAAAAAAAAAAAGGAAAATTATTTCTTCTCGAAGCAACGCGCATCACATTATACGATAAATTCATAGTTTAACGTACACATGAATTTGTTGAAGGAGAGAGGCTAATACACATTAATTTGTCTTATAGTTGTCTGAAGGATTGAAGCTCAACTACAAGTTCTAGCTTCCACTCCTCGAGACAGGCGTAATACTGATGAGATTGACCGCCATCTTTTGCTTGAATGTTGATGATGTGTTTGAAAATGACGCCGTTTAGAAGTGGTTTCGAAAGGAGCTTCGCCACATTTTGATATTCCAGGTTGGTGTTGTTTATGAAGTTGTGTCGCTTTACGGCAAACCGTCCCAGATACACCGACAACACCGACTTCGGGTCTTGTTCGGTGTAACCGTCTCCGGGGGAGCCGCAAATATCGGCTCCGGCGATACCAGCGGCAAAAAGCAGGCAAGATACTGCGAATACTACTTTGAGGAGAGATTGAAGATGAAAGGAAGCCATATTGCCTGTACTTTTCTTTTGTGTTATATATTTTTGTTGTTGTAATTGGGTTGAGAGGTGACGGTATTATGGGGTGGCTGATTGAGATCTTGGTGGAAACTGAATTGTGAAATTAGAAAAAATGCTTCTTCACCTAATTCTGTAGTTAATTATTTGGATTGAGAAATCCATGAAAATTTGCCGCTAAAGCATTATAGAGAGATATGCAAAATTCATTTCTCCACAAGTGTAATTAGAATGCCCCATTTTAATTTTGCATTGTCACTTCCTTCATTTGAAAGACTTGTTTTAGGTTGTGTTTATCTAAATCTTTAAGGTGTTTTGAACATATTCTCGACGTAACTAGGCAGATTCACAAAATCATACATTTACACATCCTTCGGACAATTTGTTACGAATTCAATCACTAAAATTTGTCTAGGTGCATGGATTTGATCTTTGTTGCTTAAAATGAGTACCATGTTATCTCATTTGGGATATAATTTCACACGATAGAGATTTTCTCATTGTATTCTCTGAATGATACTAGTGATGTCTGGTCGCGCAATGTGCGACCCTGGCCTAATATATTTGTAAATCTTATAAATGTTTATATCTAAAAAACAAAATATTTTGTATTTGGCAAGATATATTTTAGAAATGTTTGAAAAATATAGAAATTTTTTATAAGTGTGATCACAGAAATGTCTGTATTTGGCATAAAAAGATATTTTATGTGGCCCAGTAAGTTTTAGAAATGTTTGAAGATTTTAGAAATGTTTTATAAGTGTTACTTCTTAAATATAAATAAACTTGATTAAATATATATCTTGAAGTAAATACTAGACAAAATATATAAAAGTATCCTAATAAGTTTAAATATTAGTAAGATGATTTATTGATGTTCTCCATTGGTTGTGACAAATCAATACTTAGTTTTGGAGATTTATAATAGCTTTGTAGTAAGCTTCCTCCAAAGGGTATACGCTTAATTGTTGGAACTATTTCTTGAAACTGGTTAATTGTTGAAACTGGTTAATTGTTGAAACTGGTTATAGGCAGTAAAATATCAAAAATATGATTTTGAAACTGGTTAATTGTTGAAACTGGTTGATCACAAATATGAGAATGAAAATAGTGTAAATTTGTATAGGTTTCAAGTTATAGCAAAAAAGAACTCACCTCACCATGGCAAATTAAAAAAAAAAGAGTAAAAGATAGCCCATTAAAAATTGAGAAATTTATTTTTTTTCTGTAGCTAAAATGATGTATAAAAACACAAATAAACGTAGAAATATCATTCCTTCCCTCTCCACCTCAAATTCATAAAAGGCTTCCTCATAAATTAGTTAGAAGAAGCGACCTGAACTATTTATATGATGAGGAACTAAAAAAAATCCAAAAACCAAACCAAAAAATTATATTCTTGAAAGCCCGAACACAAAAAAAAAATACGCTTCATTTGCAAATAAAATAAAATAATAATAATAATAATAATTGTTCAACTAGGAGTATGAAACAAAATCAAAAGCAAATAAACAAAGAAAAAACACACATCATCACTGACCATATACGAAAAAAAAAAAAGCTGAGACTCCATAATTAGAAAAAGAAAACCATTCTAATTGAATGAAACATAAAAAAAAAATTTTAAAATCACACTTTGTAATAAAAACCCAATTAATTAATTCAATTCAAACAGAACTAAAATCATATAAAAATTCTAGGTAACTAACCATATAAGAAATCACATTATATTACCTAACAACGGCTACAGTAGCTGTAATGGATGGACACATAATAATAATAGTAATAACACTATTCTTGAACGGGAAAAACAAAAAATAATAAAAGCCAAACAAATGATCTGTGAGAATAAAATCATTTAAATTTTAATATCTGTAATGGCACGACCACAACGGCCGAAGTAAGATCAATGAGAATTTTTTTTTTCCTTTGTGTTTATATAGAGAGGTAAAGAGAATATTTTTTGAAGTCAAAATTTTATCCGATTAGGATATAGTTGATCATCACTAATGAAAAGATTAAACATGCTAATAGGAAATGAGTATATTTCACCATATATTCTCAATTGATGATTGATGAAGAATTTATTTATTTATTTTTTAGTGTGGAGAAAGGATTGATTAGGGAGTCGATTATCAGTGGAAATGGGGGTGAAGATTTGGGTTTTTTATGAAACCCAATAATCACGTGTCAATGACAAATGAATTATTTGTTACATTTTTTTTTCTTTAAATTTTCCTTTTCATTATGAAAGGCATTAACTCCAGAGAAACTAACTTTTGATTTTTTATATATTTAAAACTTTTATATAATTATTACTACAGCATATAGAATTATATTTATGTTATTTTCAATTGGAACACATATTAGAACTTTTCAAGGTTATATTTATGTGTTGCAGACAGTGCTTCCGCAGCAACGCTAAGGAAATTGGCTTCGTCAAGGTTGGTTTTTTTTTTTCAATTCAGTATTGGAAAGATTCGACGAGTTATTTAGTTGAAAAGATTCGTTGATCATCACACGTGATTATTTATTTTAAAAATTTAAGTCTATGAAATGTGTAAACAAAAATTTATTTTAAAAATATAACGTAAAAATGCCACATGATAAATGGTTGTACTTTCTCTTAAATGTGGTTTTTGTTTCTAATATAGTAAGATATTTCCTAATTAGCCGTGTGTAAATTATGGATATCTTGTGACTATTCTATGGATACAAATATTAACGTGTTTTACGTGATTAATTTGGGTGTAAGTCAACGTAATTTAACCACAAAAGGATTTTCTTGTTTAATTTAATAGTAAATGGCTTTTTTTTTGGTTTCTTGTAGTGAGATTTTTATCATTAGTCGCTACTTATTTCCCAATTAGTTAGAAGCGTTGATTTTCATTTTTAATCCTTATATATTAAATGAGGAGAATTTCTTGGGATCAGCTTTGTTTGGACAAGCACTCATTTTATATTTTAACTCATTTTACCTCTTAAACACAAAACCCAATGGAAAATAAAACATCATCCAAACAACTTTCTGATTTACATTTAAATTCCAACTTGAAACACTTTTTGTTAGTGTAATGACCATTTTAGAACTACAAATAGTTCAGTGACAAATTTGGTAGGATTTCGTTTTTGAGTGATTATTTTTGGAAAAGTTCTTTTTTGCAGTGACTATAATTGACATTATTTAATTGTTTAGTGATGACTCATACTTGATATTTTTAAAATGTAGTTCAAAATATATTTTTCAAAACCAACATCCAAACAACTTTTTCATTTCCCATTTAGTTTTCAACTTGAAACACTTTCCACTTTTAAGTGACAAAATGAAATGTAAGATGACGTCCAAACAAGCACTTGAACTTTCTGGCTCAGCTGAAAAAAGTTCAAAGGACACTTGTCAATTTTATAAATAACCGTAAAAAAATTCAACCCAAAGATATATTAGTTATTACTTTTATAGGATAAACTTTGTTTATTCTTAAATTTACTAACATCGGAGATTCTATTATGTAGCAGTCTTCGAAAAAAATGATTAACAATATTCTGGAAATTTTATCTGATAAAGTTAGTTTCTTTTTCAAATTTTAAACTACTACAGAATCTAGATTGATTTGTGTCTCCATCATGTAGAAAGAGTACTCCTTTGACGTTAATTATCGCGCCTACCTCCGATTTTTAAAAATTCATCTTTCCCCTACTACTGCGTTGACCATCGTGCTTTTTTCACCAATCTAAAATTCATATTTCTCTATGGTTACGTCGATTATCGCGATACCTTCTATTCTCGAAAATTCAGCTTTCTCCTCTGCTAATTTCCAATAAAAACGCAATTAAAGAAACCGTCTAAATCAACTAGACATAAATTTACCGCTCTACGGTGCTTGACAATTATTTTGAGAAGGGTTTGATATGATTATATTTTTAAGTTCTGCGTCAATTATCTTCAAGATTACATATGAAATAACCGGTGCAACGCACTGGGCAAATACCAATATATCAAGTAATGTTGAGTAACAATATGTAATTCACAGAATACATCACTCCACATACTCGGAAATTGAGTTAATTTTGATTCTGATCGACTATGGCTACCGGAATTCAGCAACTCCTCAAAATTTTCGCATATTTTTGTCTTCTTGCCGTGGCTTTTGCCAGAGGTGACAAATGGCCGAGTTGTGATCCAAGCTTCGAAAACGTGGATCTGAAAAGCAGCCTACACTTGGAGAATCAGCCGTAAGTCCCAATACTGACACGACAGAGATTAATATCGGCCATACAATTTGGATTTATTGATACGGCTCATAAGAACTTAAATAGACAAAGTTACAAGGGTTAGGGTTTACGGTGGAACCCTAATTTACAAGCTCAATTACTAATATACTCCTCTATACATATAAGTATATATACATTTAATATATATATATATATATATACACACACACTAACACCCCCTCAAGTTGGAGATAATACTATGGAGAAAAGTATCAGGCAAAAAATGACAGTCCACCTCAATGTGCTTAGTACGCTCGTACAAAACAGAATTAGCAACGAGATGAAGAGCCGACTGATTGTCACAGTGAAGATGCATGGGCTGGGAATGCCAAATACTAAGACTAAGAAGCAGAGCTTTCAACCACTTAAGCTCACAAACAGTATTAGCCATAGCCCGATACTCAACTTCAGCAAAAGAACAAGAGACAACCTGCTGCTTCTTAGTATGCCAGAAAACAGGAGACAAACCAAGAACGAGTAATAAACCAGCCAGTAAGAGAGCGACGAGACAAAGGACAAGCAGCCCAATCAGAGTCACACCAACCATAAAGCTGAAGATCACTATTGGCATGAAGAAAGATACCTTGACCAAGATTATGTTTCAAATACCAAACCACACGAATCGTCGCATCCCAATGAGCTTGCAGAGGAGACTGCATAAACTGTGCTAACATATGGACAGAATAAGAAAGGTCAGGACGAGTGACAGTCAGATAAATCAATCGACTAACTAGTCGACGATACTGCTCAGGATAAGAGTACAGGGATCCCTCGAGCAGAAGATGATGATTCTGGTCTATGGAAAACAAAGCAGGTTTACCACCCAACAAACCGACCTCAGAGAGAATATCAAGAATGTATTTACGCTGACAAAGAAAAATACCAGAAAAA